GGGCTGGGGTCTGTGGTTGCTCCCCAGGGGAAGGGGCCGCTCGTGCAGCCAGGCCAGGAGCGCGGCCAGCACCAGGTGGCTCAGGGGCTGTTCGGCACCCAGGGACCTCCAGAGCCGGAAGGCATGGCTGTGGGCAGAGAGGCCCGTGAGGGCAGCGCTGTGGTCAGGCCTGCCCGGTCATCCATGTGACCAGGAGGGGAGCTCACGGTGGAGTCTGCTGGGTCCTGAGCTCACCCTGACAGGCAGGGACAGGGCAGGCTGGGCAGAGTGCATGTGCTCTGGGTCAGGCAGTGAAGACCGGGCCAGTTGCCCCTGCCTCTTCGGGGCCTCTCGTCTGCACCAGCCTCTTCTCAGGTCTCCCCGCAGGCTCCTCCTTACCCAAGCTGGAGCTTCCCTGTCCGCCCCCGTCTCCCTACTGCATGCACCTTCCAGGACAGCCTGTCAGCGCCACGCGGGCTCTCTGCCCACCGTGCCCGCCTCTCCCGCCCCCCGGGCCTCGGCGCTCCTCCTCGCGCCCAGAGCACCCCGCACCCCGCACCCGCCGGCTCTGTGCAGCCTTTAGGGCAGGCAGTCACTGAGCCTGAAGCCTGTCCTGACTACCTCCTACTTTGGGGTTTGCTGGGGTCCAGCCCCCTCCCTGCTTCAGCCCGGTCCCAGCTGGGGTCATAACAGTGTTTGCACAGACCATCCCAGTCCGTGTGGCGTCCCCGTCCCACTGCGCAGACAGGAGGCTGAGGACCTCAGAGAGCAGCCCTGGGTGAGGCCCTGGAGGCTGGCCTGCCCCGTGTGGTGGCCTCTCTGTGGGCCAAGGGCATGACCCTGTGAGGCCTGGGCAGGGAGGGGCTTTGGGGCAGCCCCGATGGCAGGTGCCGCTGGCCACCTATGGCAGGTGACGATGGCCCTCTCGTTTTCTGTCCTAGGTGATTTGGGGCCTGAGTGTTGGGTGGGAGGGGCAGATGGGACCCGGGAATGAAGGGGCGGGGGCTGGGAGGGCCATGTAGGGTGGCAGAATGAGCCTAATCCCCAGCTTTAAGACTTCCCGTCTTAGCCCTGGGGAAGCAGCCTCAGTCCAGCAGCTTGGGGGACCCAGGGGGCCCTAAGTGCAGTCACCGCCCACCTGGAAATAGTGCGGCCGCCCCCCTCCCCGTGCTGGCTGTGTGACCCTGGGCGAGTCACTACTGGGCTATGAGTGGGGCGGTCCCAGTGCAGGTGATCGCTGGGCCACCTCTGCTGCTTGGGCACCAGCGTGCTGAGCGCTGTCGCTGTCACTGCAGGCAGCACCCAGGGGACCCGACGGGGCAGGGTTGGCAAGAACCTGTCCCCTTGGGAGGGGACTCTAGGACAGGGCAGCAAACTGCGTCGGAGCTGCTGAGGAGAGTAGAGTGGGGCTGGGGGAGAAGGAGGGGTGTGTCGGGGGTTCTTGCTTTTAAGCAGGGCAGCCTGTTAGCCGAGGCAGACTCCACCCAGGAGGGGATGTTTGAGCAGCACCCTGAGGATGTCGGAGAGAGCCACGCAGCCATGGGGGTGCCCCAGACAGCTCTGAGGCAGTTCCATGCTCAGGAGTCGAAGGGACAGAAAGCAAACACAAAGACACTAATCGCCAGTGTGGCAGGGTGGGGCGGTGAGGGGAGAGAGGAGAGGGCCGTGAGGGCGTGGGGGCCACTGCGAAGGCTTGGCCCGACTGTGGGTGAGATAGCGCCCCTGGGGGCTTGAGCAAGTGACACGATCGCGCCTTTTTCAAAGATGGGTCGGGGGAGACAGTGAGGGCTGAGGTTCCGGACTGGGTGGTGGCTGTGGGGCTGGGGGAACACGGGGCAGGTAGAGCTGTGGACTTGCCCAGGGGCCAGGATGTGGGTGCAGGGAACACGGATAGCTTCAGCCTGAGGACGAGTGGGTTTAGGGGCTCTGGGGTGTGGATGCCTGTCTGTCATCCGGCAAGTGACCGGGAGAGGCCGAGAGTCACCGGGAGTGACCGGGGCCAAGTGCAGGAGAGTGCAGCGAGGTGCCGGGACTCAGTGGTATGTAAAGTCGCAGGGACTCGGTGGCCGCCTGGGAGTCAGTGCAGCTGAAGGTGAGATGTGAGGGCCAGCCCTGGGGCCTGGGGCCGAGACATCAGGGAGACCAAGGAGCAGCAGCTAAGGACAGCAGGAGAGCTGGGGGATGTGGGAGAGCCAGGGGATAGGAGAGCTGGGGGTAGGAGAGGGGGGTAGGAGAGCTGGTGGT